TATATATATATCTTAAATAAAAGAAAGAGAGTTAACTATAGTGTGTCCCTAACACTTCTTAAAAATTTTGTAATTTTTAATAAATGTTAAATAATAAGAGAGAATGTGTTATTAGCATTTAGCAAAAAGTAATATCTCATTTTGCTGTATGTATATTATCTATTTTACTCTAAATTATACTTTATAATTATATTTTCCAATTTTCTCTCTTGTTTTATAGATCATATACAATTCTTTTTAAGTCATGTAAGATGAGTGTGAGTAACAAAACTCTAGTTGAAACCGTATTAAGTGTCGGTTGATTTATGGTGATTGTGAACATTTTCTCTCTTTCATTGACTTGCTATTGTTCATAACTGATATAATGAAGTAGAGTTTCCAATTTGTATTTATTAAACATTGAATGAATCTCTCTTTCTTTTCTTTCCAATGACAATGAATCACTTTTTAGATTATGTCCAAAGGCATGTTTGGAAAGTTAAATAGGGCCGGAAATGACAAAGTAGAGGAACTTTTTCATACTTTGGAAGGGTCAGCATGAGCCAATACAATAGGAATGATGAAGTGAACATAGATTTGGCTTTTAGAGCAGACGAATTGGTGATGCGGCTATGTCTCGTCCTAGTATTTACACAGTCACCAAACTACCAAAGAGCTTCATTACTGGAGGACCTTATTTCAGACCTTGGAATGTTGCTCAACTGAGACTAAAATATTGTCACACAAACTCTTCATTTCTCGCTATATATACTTACAACCTCTGCACCATTCTCATACATAGTTTACATTATTCAATCTCTAACACGGTTGCTTCAAAATGTTGATACTAAAACCACGCTTCTGGCTCTGCCTTTTTCTTCTGTTCCTCTCATTATCCGCTTCTAATTCTCGTCCCCTTGGAACTCCAACTAGTTTGAAGACCTTTCCAGCCCAAGATTCAGGTTATGGAGCCCATGCTAGTGTCACGGGCTGGATCTCCGAATTTCAAGAAAGCCCACGTAAGCCTGGAAGACTTGCTCCTGAGGGCCCAGACCCAAAGCATCACTGATCAAGCCTGGGAGAAAATTTTATGTTTTGTGAAAACAATAAACTATGGTACCGCACGAGACAGACTCATTGGGGTTGCTATTTGTGAAGGGCCACGAACCATATTCCTCTGTATTTGAAAGTAAATTTTGTGGCGAGTAATTTTTGTAACAGAACTGATCCTACATTTAAAGGATGTAAGCGTATTATAAAAAGCAACTTATTTAATATTTCGCTAAATTACTCTTTTATTTCTTTTTATATATTTAGTCAAATTTAGTCTCATTGTTACTATTAGAAGGTTTAATTTAATCCTTTAATTTTTTTAAATATTATACAATGTTATTTTTTCGTTAAATTAAAACTAACGTTAATGTTTTAACATTAAAAAATGTATCATTTTGTATTATATTTCGTTAATATTTTTTCCTTAAAAACGATATAATGTTATTTCGTTTAATCACGTATGTTTTTTTCTTCTTAAGAAAGTGGGTTAATTAAGAGTCCAATTCAATCTTACAAAATTGACTTTTTACACTTATATACATTATTATAGCCTTATTCTTAAGTGATGTGGGATCTCCAAAACACCTCCCTCATGTCAAGAATTGGACATCTCAAGTGTAAAGTTTATATGACCTTACTTCTAGATGATGTAGGATCTCCAATACACTCTCCTCACGCCAAGGATTGAAATCTTGAGTGTGAAATTTGTAAGACTAGACATCTGCAGGTGATCCGGTAATGGGTTGATAGCAAGTGGCTTGATAAGCCCACTAACAATCGATAATTGCTAGGATAAAAGCATTTGTGGGTAGTTTGATAATGACCCGATAGCGGATGGTTTGATAAGTCCACTAGCATTCGATAATCATTAGAATATAGGCTTTGATATGTTTTGATACCATTTTAAAAAAGTGGGTTAAGAGCCAAACCCAACCTTATAAAATTAGCTTATAAGGTGATAATTGTTGAAATAGCTTATATTAAAAGAAGAATATCTACTTTATGTGTGTTCACAATCTCTAATAAATACTTTTAGCGTAGATATTTCATAATAATATCATATAATTAATATATATATATATATATATATATATATATATAATAACCTTAGGATTGAGTTAGTCTCAATCGAAACATCAAATTTGATACCAGTAACAATCAATAATCACTAGGATATAAGCGTTTGTGGGTGGTCTGATAATGAATCGATAAGGGGTGCCCTGATAAGTCCACTAACAATTGATAATCATATAGGTTTTGATATGCTTTAACAACATCTTAAGAAAGTGGGTTAAGATCCTTTAAAATTAGCTTTTAAGGTGATGATTGCTCCCCATTTATATATATATGTCTGTGTGTGTGTGAGGAAGGATTCGTTTACTCTAAGAGTAAGTCTACCTAGACTTACTCCATTCAATAACTCATTCTACATCAAATTTCAACGATCCAACCGTGAATTTGAAGTTCTTAATGCATAGATCAAATATGCAAATTTTAAAAAAAAAATTGAAAACCATTTTATATTTTGTTTCATTAATTTAAATTAATGTATAAAATGATTTTATGATTATCCGTCAATTTGAATTAATGAAATGAAGTATCAAATGATTTTCAAGTTTTTTTAAAAAATTGCAAACTTGATCTATGCATTAAGAACTTTAAATTCAATGGTTGGATCGTTGAAATTTGATGTAGAACATGAATTATTGAACAGAGTAAATTTAGATTTAGGGTTTAGGGTAAACTTACTCCTAAAGTAAACGAATTCTAACCTTAGGGTTGAGTCAGTCACTTTGTCAAAACATCAGCTCTGATACCACTATTGGGAACTGGGGGTTCACGCATACTCATGTCACTATATTAGTATGATATTGTCCACTTTGAACTTAAGCCCTCGTGATTTTGCTTATGGTCATCTCCCAAAAGGTTCATACTAATGAAAATTATGTGTTTTATAAACCTTTATTTCTCTCTCATGATTCAATGATGTGAGATTTTGTTTGTACCCTAACAATTGTATTCCTACAAAATCTTTTAAAATTTACAAGATTTTTTCATACTTAAATAGTCTTATAAAATTATAATCTAATACATTCCCTTAAAACTTTATTTAAGAAAATTGGATTCATTTGCACTCAAATCAACTACTTGTGTGAATAAAACATGTTCTCGAATACCTAAAAGTTCCACATCGTTTAAGAATTGAAGTTAAGAGTAGTTACTACTAGAAAATTGAAAAATAGCGACCGAAATTAGCTACCAAAATTTATCAGTCGCTATTTAGCGACTGATTTAGCGACCGATTACGAATAATCAAAATAGCGACCGATTTAGCGACCAAAATAAGTCGTCGCTAGAAAGTCGGTCGCTATTTCGGTCGCTAAATAAGAAATTTCATTTTTTAGCGACGAAATTAAATTCGGTCACTAAATTATAATTTTTTATTTTTCTTAGCGACATAATTACATTCAGTCCCTATTTCGGTCGCTAAATTATAAATTTTGATCTTTTTTACCGACGAAATTCAATTCGTTCGCAATATTAGTTAAAATTAGCGACGAAATTGAATTCGGTCGCTAAATAGTAGTTAAATTTAGCCACAGAATTGAATTCGGTCGCTAAATTATAAATTTTGATTTTTTTTAGCGACGGAATTTAATTCGGTCGCTAAATAGTAGTTAAAATTAGCGACGAAATTGAATTCGGTCGCTAAATAGTAGTTAAATTTAGTGACAGAATTGAATTCAGTCGCTATTTCGGTCGCTAAATTATAAATTTTGATTTTTTTAAGCGATGAAATTTAATTCGGTCGCTAAATATTAGTTAAAATTAGCGATGGAATTGAATTAGGTCGCTAAATAGTAGTTAAATTTAGCGGCAAAATTGAATTCGGTTGCTAAGTATTAGTTAAAATTAGCGACGGGATTGAATTCGGTCGCTAAATTAGAAATTTGATTATTTTAGCGATGGAGTTGAATTTGGTCGCTAAATATTAGTTAAAATTAGCAACGAAATTGAATTCGGTTACTAAATAGTAGTTAAATTTAGCGAATGAATTCAATTCGGTGGCTAAATATTAGTTAAATTTAGTGACCGAATTGAATTTGGTCGCTAAATCAGAAATTTTGATTTTTTTAGCAACATAATTAAATTCGGTCGCTAAATATTAGTTAAATTTAGTGACGAAATTGAATTCGGTCTCTAAATCAGAAATTTTGATTTTTTTAGCGAAAGAATTAAATTCGATTGCTAAATATTAGTTACAATTAGCGATGTAATTCTATTCGGTCGCTAAATATTAGTTAAAATTAGCGACAAAATTATATTCGGTCACTAAGTAAAACTTAAAAAAATTTATAAATTGCTTAAAATGAGGATATATAATATTGTTGTTAAGTACCAATCCCATTTTGCTTTTTTTTTTTTGTAAGAACAAGACATTAATTTATAATAAAAAAATATTTATATGCACTCCTACATAATTAATGCCAATAGTTATTTATGTGAAAAAATATTTAGAGTTTTTTTTTTACGATTGGATTTTTAGGCAATTTTTTTAATTAGAGTATATGAATTTTAAATTTTTTTATTTATTTTGATCCATATTTATAATATATATTTCTAACTTATGATAACTTTATTTTTAAATAAATTTTTATATTTAAATTTTAAATTAGTATTTTATTAATGGTTGATAATTAGAAAATAAAACAAGGATAAATACATTTTTTGAATTTTATATCTTAGATTTAAGATGAATAAATATATTAAGTTAATTAATAATTTATTTAAAATGTTAAAATTTAATTTATAAAAATAATATTTTAAAAGAGAAGGGTTATAATAACATCGGTGTAACTTTTACTAAGTATTACATCGCTCAATAACTTTATATTAAATGTGAATTTTATAAATTCAACCGTTAGATTGAAAGTTTTTTACTCTTAGATCATATATACAAAATTTTATATTAATTCAAGATGATTTGATACTTCATTCTTGTAAAACAAAATTGACGTAATATATACATTTCAAAATATACTAAAATATGAACACTTTGATTACCTTCAAGTTGTTGTTCAATTTTAACAAAACTTGATATAAACATATAAAGTGATATGAACTTTCAATCTAACGGTTAGATTTACAAAATTCACATTTAATATAAAGTTATTGAGCGGTGTAATACTTAGTAAAAGTTATACTAGTGTTATTATAACCCTTCTCATTTTAAAATATATAAATTATTACTTAAACTTTTAAATTTATAATAAATAATTTAAATTGTATCATAAAATTAATTTTAAATATAAATAAGTAGATTGTTAATTATAAAAGTAAGTATATATATAAATAAAGATTAATTAAATATAATATAATTATTATTATTAGTAATATAATTATTATATATTTATAACGGTCCGGATATACCAAAAATGATAAGTATCCAAAAATAATCTAAGTATGAGATTGGATAGTTGAGGATGACTTAAATGAATTAATTTGTACTACCTATACTAATAACATGCATTTGCTTTTCGATAACTTATCTCATAAGAACTTCACAGTTAAGTGTGCTTGACTTGGAGTAATATAAGGATGGGTGACAAAACATGCTAAAAACTCAAGTATTGTGAAATAAAATCCTTAAGAGGCCAAATATAAGTGGTTCGTAGCGACCAAATTTGCAACGTCTATAAAATTTAATAAAATAAAAAATAAATATTTAGCGACCGATTTAGCGACTGATTTATTCGGTCACTAATTTGGTCCCATACAAAATCATTTCAACCATTTAGCGACTGAATTAGCAACTGAAAATTTTGGTCACTATTTAGCGACCGAAAATTTTTCCGTCGCTAAATAGCTTAGCGACTAGGGTTTTAGCGACTGATTAAATTCGGTCGCTAATTCGGTCGTTAACGTAAATAGCGACCGATTTTTGCAATTTAGCGACCGATTTTGGTGGTCGCTAAATTGCATATTTTTTGTAGTGGGTTTATAAACATTATCTCTCCTTAACCCACTGAGATGTCTTTTAAAGGATAAAATTATGACGGTCCAACAAATACCAAAACAAACAATATTTTGGACGTAATGACCCTAACGATACTAACTGACTTATAGTCAAACATAAGTGTTAGAAAGAAGGCTTAGGTCACTTTTATTCCCTAGTCTCGACCGAGAAAATTCTTTCGATATAATTAAAAATCTCACATCGTTTAAGAATAAAGACCTTTTCTCAACTCACCTAAGATGACAATCCAAGAAGTACTTAAACATGTGTGGTAACCCTATTATAATACCCCACTTATTGTTGTTTTGATAGAGGCAAATCACATTTGAATATAACATGGAAACAAGGCACTCAATCTCAAGTCTTGTAAAAATGACAAACACAGATGCCGAAAGGGAAAGGAGGAAAAGTTAATTTCACGCGTCATCGGGCTGCAACCGTGGGTGCACTTGCATTTTTCGCTCTTGTTGCGTGGAAATTCATTAGATCTATCTTGCACCCAACTTTTAGAGATGAAGGCACTACTAGAAAGTGACTGTTCAACATCGACAATTCTACATCGGTTTAGGTAGTTTCGATGTAAAAATTGGATGCGATGGCATATTCATAAATATGAGTTGAATGTAAAGCAAATTTACATCGGTTATGTACAAAACTGATGTAATTATTGAACATTTTACATCATTTTTAATTGGACCGATGTAGATTTAAATGTACGGTGGCAATTTTGTAAATATTTACAAGTACATCTACATTGGTTTTCAAAATAACCGATGTAGTATAGAACCCCGTGAAAGCAAAACCCTAGTCCCCTCCCTTTCCTTCCTCAACCAGCAACCTCAAAAACAAAACACAGATCACAGGGAGCCATCGCCACCCATGGCTTACAAGCTCTGCGACTCTTGCAAATCCACCACCGCCACCTTGTATTGTCGCCCCGACGCCGCAGAGGACTCCAAGGTCCACGTCGCTAACAAGCTTGCCTTGTGTCACCCGCGTGTCACGCTCTGCGAGGTCTGTGAGCAGGCTCTGGCGCACATCACCTGCAAGGCTGACGCCGTCGCGCTATGCCTCACCTGCGACCGCGACATCCACTCCGCCAACCCCCTCGCCAGCCGCCACGAGCGCCTCCCGGTCACTCCATTCTTCAAGTCCATACACTCTATCAAGGCTTCCTCGCCGATTAACTTCCTCGACGAGCATCGCTTTCCATCACCCAATTTTTCTTCTACGCAATATGTAGCGTTTTTTGCTGTATCGATAATGGACACCACGTGTTTGTTGAAATGCTCCACCAATGTTTGCTTACTTTTGTGACTTAGGTTTACTCTGAATTTGGAAAATGGTGTCGTTTTTTGCATGTATACGAAGATGGGGTTTGCTGGTAATGTTGAGCCATGCTTTATTGGTCTGACAGTGGTTGCACTTAATGAGTCATTTCTGAATCAATCTAGGAGCTCTTCTAAAGGCAACTGGGTTTCCCAGCATAATGCTGGGGTTATGGCGGATCTTGATTTCTTCATTAGGGATGACGCACTTTCCAAGTCTCGATCTAGCAGTACTTACAATCTCAGCTACCCGATTCGGCATGGTCAGGTTGAGAATTGGGATGCCATGGAGCACTTGAGAGGGATGAATTGCATATAGATTTACATCGATTATAATAAAAAAGTTTCTTGACCCTCTGTGACATGAGTGGGGGCCCTGCTGACATCCTGAGTCGACTTGTGCGTCGGTGCATGAGACCGATGCGTGGCAGGTCGTGGAGTCGGTGCTCTGGTCGTAGTTCGGGGTTAATCAGCTTACAACTCAACAACACAACTTTACAGCAATAGGCATCTTAACAACTTTACAGCAATAGGCATCTTAACAACTTTACAACAATAGGCATCTTAACAACTTTACAACAATAAACAACTTAGCAACTTTACAACGATAAGCAACTTAACAACTTTACAGTAATAAACAACTTAACAACTTTACAGTAATAAACAACTTAACAACTTTACAACAATAAGCATCTTAACAACTTTACAACAATAGGCATCTTAACAATTTTACAGCAATAAACAACTATAGTCATCAATCTCAACTTTAACAACTTTAAACAACATAGCAACTTTTCCATATACATTCTAATACAGCTTATAAACTACTTCAACTTATACCTCTCAACTTATTAATAATTCAACAATAAACATGTAAATAACTTCACAACTTAACTACAACATGCATCTCATAACACAACTCATACTAATCAACCTAAGTACCCAAATGAGTTCCCAACTCACATACGACCAACAACTTTATAATCTAGCATTCCTTACCTGAAGATTGGCTCAGAATAGCCAAGAAGCAGAATTCCCTTTCTGAAGCTCAACCCGGAACTACAATCCATCCAAAGCAAGCTTCCTAGTCCAGAGTTCTTCTCTCTAAAACTTCAATCTAAAAACCTTCATTTCTCTTCAACCACCCAACTCTATTTATAGACATTCAGGAATGGCCAGAACGGCCTGTTTCGAATCCGGAACGGGCCGTTCTGCACCCCTTCTCCACGTTCAAAAATCACATGCAGAACGGCCCGTTCTGAAACTAGAACGGCCCGTTCTGGGATTCATCCAGAATGGTCCGTTCTCCATTCAGAACAGCCTGTACTCCCTCCAGAACGCCCCGTACTCCCTCCAGAACGGTCCGTTCTCAACTGCATTTTATAGGTCAATTCAGTAGTTTGGAACGGCCCATTCCAGTTTGGGAACGACCCGTTCTGGGCTACTGAATCACCCATATTGGGCTTTTGGGCTTGAACTTGCTACGTTACAATACCCCCCAACAAATAGAAATTTTCGTCCCCGAAAATAGACTTACTTGGAAATAAAGAAGGATGCTCAATCTCCCAAGTAGTCTCACCAGTAGCTGCATCCCACAAGATCTTCACCAATCCAGTGGACTTTCTCCTCAACTCCTTCAACTTATAATCAATCACAACTACCGGTCTCTTCTCATAAGTCAGGTTCTCCTTGATCTGAATCTCACCTATCTCAACTACATGACTCAGGTCATGGACATACTTCCTCAATTGTGGAACGTGAAACACATGTTCCCCCTCAGCAAACTTCAAAGGCTTTTGCCTTTTATCAGCATATGACTTCTATCTACTCTGGGCAATCTTCATACTCTCTTGAATCAACTTTACTTTCTCAGTAGTTTGTAGGACTAACTCTGGCCCCACAACCACTGATTCACTATCTTGGTACCAACACAGAGGAGTCCTACACCTCTTACCATACAGGGCTTCAAACGGTGCAATTCCGATACTATCATGAAAGCTACTGTTATACATGAACTCTACTAGTAATAAGACTTTCTCCCAACCTTCCAAGTGGTCTAACACACAAGATCTCAGCAAAACCTCCAAGGACTGAATTGTCCTCTCTGACTGACCATCCGTCTTCGGATGATAAGCAGAACTCAACCTCAATCTCATACCTAAGACTTGGTGTAGACTCTTCCAAAAATCTGGAAGTGGACCTTGGATCCCTATCTGAAATAGATCTCTCGGATATCTCTAGAAATTTAAGATTATCCAACAAAAACAACTCTTGGAGGTTGGTTATATGGCAATGACGTATTTACAATTTCAGTTGCCATAACATTACACACCAATACACCATGGTCATGTTGACTAGACGTAAGAGCTAGGGGCCAAAAACACTTTAGTTAAGTGATCAAGTACACGCATGAAAGCCACATATAGTGCTTTTATGATATCTGCAATGAAGCAAGGATCTCTTTTCTAAAATCATCCAGAAATTGGAATTTGAATTCCATCAGAAGTCCATAAGCTTTTGAGGTAAGCAATATCTTTGTTTGTCTTATCAAGTGATCAGTGCTCTCCGTTGCCAATTACGACTTTTGAATTATCAAGAGATCTTGTCTCTTAAGGTAGTGTTTGTTTTCAGGGATTTACTATTCATGAGCAAAGAAAGGCGAAGAAACTTATTGTTCGTTTCTGGTGATTTGCGACGACGGAAAGGCGAAGAAAAGGAGGAAGAAGCGTGATTCGCGTCCTCGCTTTTGTGCGAAGAAAAAAGAAGAAAGCCACGTAAAATTTATAAAAACCCAAAATACCCTTTCGCATGCATAGATAGTATGTCATACAGTGAAAAAAGCATATACAAAAGAAACATAATCGATTATGCAAGAATACATAATCGATTATGACCTTACATAATCGATTATGTTGAAGCATAATCGATTATGCAAAGGCATAATCGATTTAAAAATGGCATATATAAAAATGAAAACTAGATAAGTAATTTAATATATATATATATATATATATAAAAGGAATTAGATAAGTAATTTTAAAACAAATCATGCTTACCTGAGATGAAGCACTTAGGTAATGCAAGTGAAGTAAATTTGGAGAAGCTTTTTAGTTAATCCAAGAGAACAAGAACCTGCTTTAGTTTAAATTTATATACAAATTAATTAATTAAAAATTGACATACATGAATTAAATTTATATGCCAAAATGTAGTTTTAAATTCGGCTATTGCTGATTATTTTTATTTTTATTCATTGCATGGGAATTTCAATTCCTGGAAGATGTAGTTTTAAGCTAATGCCCTGTATTGGAGGTCATTTTTACTGTGGGCTTAATCATATTTATCCTGACTCATTGTCTCATTGTTTTAAACTATACCTAATTTCTCAAATATGTTATGGAGGCATATAATATTTTTCCTGATATTGATTCTACCGCTACAGTTTGTTTCATATGTATGCTTCCTATTTCAATAGTATTTTGTTATTTTCTTATAAACTTTCTCTGCTACATAGGAACTGACTTTATATTGTTATATCTTTTATTCAAGTGTTTATATTGTTAAATCAGTTTTTAGAGAAGTTAAACAAGAAAGATTCTATAAGTCATCAGGTATGGACATGACTCATTCTGATCTTAGGAATTAGACAAACCACACTGGAGTAAGACAAAGTCACAGGTTCAGACACAGGAACTGAGGAAGAATGTGAACATAAGCCAGCTGAGGTTTGAGACAGATTTGATGAAGATATGGCTAAGGGACAGAAGAAGCACATGATACCAATTAGAGTCTATGGTTGCAGAAAAATAGTAAAAAGAAAGAGAAAACAGAGAATTAAGAGAGAGAATGATATTTGAGAATAGTTGTTTTGATTGATAAAGAAGTTTTGTGGTTCTTGTACATACAAGAGTCGTTACAAGCAGACAAAGAGATGCATTTTCTAACTGACCAACTAATCACTAACTTCCTAATGAACTTTCTAACACACTTGTACATATTCAGTTCAGAATTGTAGTGTTTCTGACACTTCAACACACAGTACGAATAAACTGAGGTACCATCATAAACTCTATGGCAAGGAATCCCTACTTTCTGATCAATTTTATTACTAGTAGAATTCATATTACTTTTATTTTATCAGAGCAAAAATGTATTTCAATTTAAGTTTTGCCTATTTTGTGTATTAGAAAATAGGTTTATTTAGTAGTTTGGATTGATCAATCTACTTTTCTTCTTTCGAGTATTTCAAGACTGAGATAACTATTAATCATATATTAACAGGTTCATGGGTTTGTTCAAGACAACAGAACTGGAGAGAAGGTAGCAATGTTAATTGGGAAGTGGGATGAAGCAATGTACTATGTACTTGGGGATCCAACCACCAAGCCAAAAGGTTATGATCCGATGACAGAAGCTGCATTATTGTGGGAAAGGGACAACCATGTAACCAAGACAAGATACAACCTCTCTCCTTTTGCAATTTACTTGAATGAAATATTACCTGGTCTATTAGAGAAGTTGCCTCCAACTGACTCGAGGTTGAGACCAGATCAAAGACATCTAGAGAATGGAGAGTATGAGCTGGCAAATGCAGAGAAACTAAGACTTGAACAGTGGCAGAGACAGGTAAATCACCCACAACTTTCAATTTTTGCTCCATTGAATCTAGTGTGTATTGGAGACGATTTTTACATAGCCTTGTAGTATTATATTTTCCCCACCATGATATAGTTGCCATTTGTTCGCAAATAATCACCTTTTATTTTCCATGTCTCCTTGGATCTCCCATACTTGTTTGGTTTAATTTTATCAGCAATCTGTTGGGAGAATTATGGGTGCCTAAGAATCATGATTTTTAGTACATGAGAAGCTTTTATTGAAAATTCTTGTAACTTATGGTTGATTCATAATTCAGGCAAGAAAAATGCAAGAAAGAGGATGGCAACCGAAATGGTTTAAGAAGGATGAGGATGGTTGTTATCGATATACTGGTGGCTATTGGGAAACAAGAGAAAAGAATAATTGGGATGGAATCCCGGATATATTTGGACAGAGTTGTGATTTACCTTCATGTTCGGAAGAGACTGGATATATGGAATGCAAGTTTAGCATGATGCACCAACAATGGAAACAACAATAACAATAATAGCTTTATCCCACTAAGTGACATCAGGCACATAGATCACATGATGCCATTAGTCTCAGTAAGAAACCAAATTCTTGGGAATATTATTCACCATGAGATTCCTTTTGATAATATCATTCAATGTCATTCTTACTCTCCCTCTACCCTTCTTTCACATGGTTAAAAACTACACAATCTACTTTCACTACCTATGCCTCCAGTGCTCTTCTATGCACTAACAGTAGCAAAAATAAATTGCACATATAATTTAATTGCAGAGTTATTATACCAAGAACAACCAAACAAGAAAAAAACAAACACATACCAAGGCAAATTGGACATTGAACTTCTTTGCGTATTTCCAGAAGTTCTACAAATACAAATCTGTAAACAAAGCATGAACTTAAGCTTTTATTTATATAAACTTAATAGGTAAAAACAAAATTAATATTCAAAATCTGAAATATAAATGATGCATCTATAACTTGTATATAGTCACAAAAAATCAAAAATCTTCACCCACTTGATAGCTAATAGTGAAACAGTAAATTCAGCACCTTTTTAATAGTTTTTAATGTGTATGAAAAGTAAAAAAACAGAACTAAGGCCTAATAAAGGCAGTTCCGATGGCATCGGCAAACAAAAGATGCAGTAGGGGAGCAGTACAAGAATCTAGAAGCTTTTTAATAGTTTAATTATAGTTAATACTAGACATTGGCCACTCCCACTACCTTCCTTGATCATATAAATTCTCTAAAGTTGCTATATGCTTGTAAAAAAAAAAAACTAGCCATAGCCACTTAAAAAGTCAGAAAGGAGAAGAAATAAAGTTTACAAACTGAAGTTGCAGTGTTGCAGATACCTATGGCTTTATATTTTTATTCCTCAGTTCCAGAAGCTTTGGGAACTAGAAAAACAATTAGAAAGTGATTTCCCACCTTCAACCATGCAACAAGCAAAAATTAAAACCTTTTTTACAGATATGCGGCATTTCTAAAAAAACCAGGATGCAGGTATGATTTAATATGGTTCAAGGGGATCAGTACTTTATGTAAGTTTTGGAAGCCAAACCAGCCTCCCTCATGCTCAACTTGTTGAACTGGTTCATGGGCTTGAACATTGTGGTTATAGTTTCATAGTTTGAGCAGAAACTCTTATCTATCTATTTAATTCATTTCTTCTATTTATCAGTTAGGAACCCATAATTGACTTATGCATAAAAACCACCTCTAGAAATGTAAAACCATAATTTCCGACGAAAATAGAGAAAGAGAAACGCGAGTGCAATACCAAATGAATTCCCGACAGGATTTGAAATTGAAACTCTCCTAGCAAATTTCGCTGTCCGATTCGAAGCTACATGGACAATACAACCATCTGCAAAATTCAAGAGAACAGGAAATGATAGCTTAGACAGAAACAAATTGACTTAGACAGAAACAAATTGTATATGAAATCCTACCCTAAGATCAATTGAATGCATACATTTCCCGCGGGCAGGTTTCGTAACCTAGGTTTTGATTCTCATTAGAGAATGGCAAATTGTAAGTATGAGTCGAAGAAAATAGAACAGATTTAATGCCCTTGGATGATTGAAAACTCACCATGAATGGATTAATCGAGTAGAAAAGAGAAGCTCCTCACGAACAGTAATGATAGAGACGAAGGAGCTTGAACAGTAATATTGCGGTCGTTTAGGTTGATTATTTTGAACTAAAATTGTAAAGGTGAGGGTGAAATGAAGAAGGCGAAGAGAGGATGAACAAACCTTGTCTTCGAGGGGTGCTGAAGCACATGGACGCGCGGAAGCAAAGAGGATGGCGGGTTCGTGAGGCTGAACTAGAAATTGTTTTTTTCCTTTATTTTAAATTGATTTTATAAGTTTTTTTTTTTAATTTCATAAAAGAACTAAGGCACGTATAATTAATTAAATAAAAAATTATTGAACGTTCTGGCGGTTTTAAACCGCCAGAAAGTGTCAACACAGTAACGATTATCATTCCTGCGGTTTAAAACCGCCAGAAAGTGTCAATAATTTGTAGCATTTGTCATCCTTTCTACAAATGTAACATTTTTTGGCGGTTTATGGAAACCACCAGAAAAAAATTGCCAATAATTACCTATTTTTTTGTAGTGACTATATTAATTAATGGAAAATGGAAAAATGAAGATTTCTTTTTGGGATAAATTTAAGGACACTAATTAAAGAATAAATATTTAATATATATATATTTAATATTTAATATTTAATATTTTATAATTTTTTTAATTAAAATTTATATATTTATTTTTTAACTATAATAATTATAAATTTTTTAACTTAAGGGCAAAATAGTAATCTTATATAATTATTAATTAAAAAATTTATTTTTATCTATCACATCAATCAATTCACTCACAAACTTTCACATACTTTCTCTACACTTTTCACTCACTTTCTCTTAATCCAAACAACTTCACTTTCTACTCACTTTTCCTTCAAATCTCTCATTTTTCACTCCCTCTTTTCCATCTTCAAATCCAAACAAAGCCTAAATGATAGGTGAAAATACATTATACTTTTTCTTCTCACAATAACTATAGTCTTAAATTTTAACGCATAAATTAAAAATAATAATAAATATATTATTTTTTTATATACAATTTTACAAAAATAACTTCCCCTCTCATTTTAGGGCAACAATCATGTCTTTGAAGGGTGTCTATGAATTGGATTTAATCCATTTTTATGGAAAAAAAAACTATCTTATCCAATCTCTTTAATTTAGTTCATTAATCACTCATTTGGTTTGGTTTAAAAATCAAATCTAATCAAATTCAATCCAAATATATTTCGATTTAGATTGGATAGGTTTTTAATTTTTCAAACACAATTATAATATTTTTATGAAACATAATAGGTATAATATTTTTATGTACAAAAATAATTACTCATGTATCTAATTAATTATTATTATTATTAATGATAATATAATTAAGTCATAATATATAAAATTACGAATTGAGATAATTTATTAGTATTCAATGATATGATAAAGTCACTAATTTAAGAAAGTAGGTAAACCAGTAAATTTTCAAGTACGTATTTAATAGTTAATACATTGTTTATCACAATATAGAATACCAAACAAAAAAAAAAGACAATAGTTGGATATATATATAGAGAAAAGTGTTCCATTTGATTTGATTTTTTAATCAAAGTTGAAACTCGACCCTATTTAATAAAAAAATTGATTTTTCAATTTTTGATTTTTTTTATTTTTGATTTTTTGATTTTTCAGCTAAATTTATGTAATTTACATTAGACTAAATTAGTTATGATTTATGATCATCCTTTCTAAATAGTTTATGAAAGGAAAATTAGGAAAAAAAAATAATTAATGCTACATTAAAAAATGAAAACATCATTTATTATAGAACATTTCTCAAATGTTAAAATTGCAATTATTGTGAGATGGAGACAATATTTAAGAATGAATGTCAAACTTATGTTTTTATTTTTTATAAACCAAGCTATCTATTAGTTAAAGAGTAATCTCATGAAATAATAAAGTCTATTTAAACAGTTGCCGTATGCAAATAAATGCATTTTCTATATATATAAATGGGAGGTTGAATCTCGTATCATATACTTAAGAGATAAGTTTATATATAAACCAACTATGTCACACCTTGTTAGTGGATGCTAAATTTATTTAAATTAAAACCTCTAATTTTACATTAAAAAGTAGAGTTAACAATAGTAAAACAAAAGATAAAATTTAGGTACAATTTTTTTATGTACAATTGAATTTGTTCTCCAATTAAAGATGATGTTTTACCTTTGCATCATGCATTTACATTTATTACATATCTCGTTAATTTACATTTATGCATATTATTAATGTAAAACTTAAATCTAATTAGAAAACAATAACAATTACATCTAAGAAATTATGCCTAAGTTTTGTCTTAAAACAAAATCTCTAAATAAAAACTTGGATTGGTGAAATAGTTAGACACAAACACAAGTTATGAGGACTATCTATTTATAAAAGAATTTTGAACTTAACTTCTACCCTATGCAAAAACCTTCAAATCAACCACAAATGTGAGCAAGATTAATTTATAATCTAGTGAGTTAAAAATATTCATAACAAAACCATATATAAATATATTGTTGAAAATTTATGAGTTTTTTTTAAAAAATATTTTAATCTTTTGTATTTAATAAACTTAAATTTAATGATACAATAAAATATTCATAAATCATTTTTAAAAGTAATAATATTAATTAATTAAATTTAACATTTTAAAATTAAAAATTTTAAACGTATATATTTTTATGTATTTTTGTTATCATTAAATAATTTATGTTGATTAAATTAATTTCCATAATGTATCTTTTTATTTTTATCAATATATTCTGCTAGTACGTGCCCGACTATTGTATCCATGCTCATCCAAATGGTTCTATTTTATGTGAATTCTGAGGGGACTAGAATATATCTAGCATTATACAAACTATAAATACGCTTCATATTGGTTCATTCACATTCGAGTAAAATAAAACTCCTTGACAGTACACAAACATTAGACATCAGTACATTCAACATAATTGTTTTCCAGAGTACAGCTACAACAAAAGGACGATCCAAATTAATACTATGGAGTATTATATATATGAACATCAACATATCTTTCGATAACAACAAAAGTACAATAACCCCAAAAAGAGATATATACCCCTTTTATAATGAATTATTCTATAATTACTACTGAAATGACTTCAGGGGGTCATTAGGGTCAATATCAGCAATAAGAGGGAGATCAACTGGCATAGAATCTAGACTCAAACCTTCATCTCTCAGCTTTGTGATTACTTCCTGAAAGACAACTTGATTGCCACTTTGAGTGAGATGCAAACCATCACTGCATTTCAGTTAACAAAATCATAAATTCAATCGAAACCAAAGACATAATCACGTCAAACACTTCGATTCATAATTGTAGAAAGCAAGAAAGACAATTGCAGATAGAGAAATCCGTGTAGACATAATCATTAATTCGCGTCATCCAAACTATTCAACTAGGTTGTAGGAAAAACTAAACTACATTCTTTGTACCTACATGTGGTAACCAAACTTTTCCATTTTTAATCAAACCATACCCGTCAAAGAATGACATCCTTCCTTGCAAACTCTACGAAATTGGCAATTATAGCATAAATGAAGCCATGCATATAAGGTACACAGTAGATTCAAAGCTGAAAAACCAAGTCAGCAATATGAAAACCCCATTACTCGTAAATTTTTTTGTTATGGTGTAATGACAAGTCAGAAAACATTTAGTTATATCACACGACAAAGCCATCATGTTCGTCGATCAGCATTGTAAATGTAAGTGGTTACTAATCTCAATATAAGTGCGCAAGATAAGATGCTAGTGAAAATACATAAATGTAAAAAGTTTCTGAGACCTTAGAAAATCTTTTTTCCAATCAGGGAACTGTTGCATTTTGGTCCAGAGATCAATCACAGGGGTTCCACATTCTGCAGCCACAGCAATGCATCCTCTAGCATACTCACAAGCAGCTTCATTTGTCCTTTCAGGAAGACCCTGTGGATTCTCTACATACGGATATCTGCCATAGATTTATAGAAATCAACTCATTCTAGTTTAAGCTCTATTGTATTGTATCTCTAATTAAATCCTGTGAACTGAGAAAATCTACTAAAAGCTAGCGGTGACAATATGAAGAATAAAGGGTCAATACAACAGTACCTACAACGTGCCTCCTCATCAATTGGAGGAGGAGTTATGAGGAGAACAAGAGTTGTGGGCCATCGCTTCTGCATTTCAAAGAAAAACTTGCAATATTCATTTTAATATTTATCTAAGAGGCCAAGAATTGAAACATGTATGTCAAATTCTTTTTTTAAACATATATATATATATATATAT